CTCCTGAGTCCATCCATGGTCATGGCTTGCTCCAATTTTACCTGTAACTCAAATGCCTAAAAATAACACCCATAAACCCTAGATTCGGGCATCGTTATGCAGGCCATGAAAATCAAATTAAATGATGCAGACTTGTTAGAAATTTGATAGGGATCAAGATTATGTCAATAATTTATCAAAAGGATGCAAGAATGAATGGTTTCAATTTCATGTTCAGAGCTGTTTTCAAGAATACTTACAGCACTTTTCAGATAGCTTCAGGCCTTGGCTTTGGTTGCTATAGCTTCAGGAGGTTGCTGGCAAGAGAGCTACGTTGTGATTTGGGATTGAATTGGTCTCCAATGTTGTTTTCGATCTCCCACTTTTCAAACTTTTTCACCAATTTGCTTTGGCCGTTTCAGCAGTGTTATGTGCGTCTTCCAGGTCTGGCTTGCTTATGTGCATATAATAGAATGTGTCTAGGTCAAAATTTGGGCATTAAACCTTGTGCATTGAAGATGGAATATTGGATTTGATCACCATTGATAAGCTTTCCATAATTGCATCAAATCTGAGATTTTGTGCTTATTTTGACTTGGTACGAATTTGACTGAGTGTTATATGATATATGTAAGCTGTAATGACCACAAGAATCTCATTCCATTAATTTTTGGATTTTATTTGAATTAATATAGATTTAAAATGAATTAAATCAATAAAAAATAGATAAAATAGAAAAATAAATGTTTAGTCATGAAACTAAAGATGGGACACGTGTGTGGCATGACAAGACCATACCAAGTGGAAAAAAGTGGGCCCTTTTGTCAAAAATTGGAGTTTTGAGGATAGTTGACCTTTGGCAAATTTGGAAAAATGCCCAACTTCAGCAATGCATAACTTCTTCAATTTTGAACTTTTGGATGTGTTCTTGGACTTTTTAGAAAACTTGAGATGTATTATAATCAACCCTTTTGGTATCATCTCATTTTTATGTTCAATTCTCAAGTTATAAGCTTTGGAAAAAAAGGTGTTTTTGTTGACTTTCAAAAATGACCTATAATGTCCAAATTTGTAACTTTTTGTGAGTGCATTTCTTGATCTTGGGGTGTGAAGATGGATTATAGGAAATTGCATCCACTTCAAAATTATATTTGGATGGGTCATTTATCATAAAGTATGAGAAAGTTATGCTTGGTCAAAGTTGAGTTGACTTTTCCTACAAAACCCTAATTTAGCAACTTTTGAATCTTGATGAATCTTGAGCAATCCTTGATGAATCATGATCAACCCTTGATAAAATGATTAATTATCATTCAAAATGATAATGTTGACAAAAAATCTTGAGGTTTGACTGTATTTGGGACACAGTTGACTTTTCCCCTAGCACGGTCGATTTTTGGGTTTCTTGAGCAATTGACTGACCAAACTTCCTCTGCAAGGCTTGAAATTTGACATGGATTAACTTAATAACATATTAAGACATTGGGAGGCACTTGAGTCCATTTGGATATGAGGACCTTAATGCAACACAAAACCCTAATTTTGACTTGACTGCCTTAGGAGGTGTTTTGACTGTCCAACCCTTGAGCCAATCTTGAGCAACTTGAAGATATTCTTGAAATGTCTTGAGGAATATGGGAGGGCAAATTTTGGGGTACAACAATATGTTTAGTTCTTTAATCCATCTAGAGGAGTGGTTGAATTTAAAGATGAAATAATTTTGAAATGGTGATCCAAATTAGCTTATCATTCCCCTCCCTCTTCATCTTAACCCTTTCTTTTTTAATTGTGCTACATGTTAAGGGATGGTGATCTTTATATCATTTATCCAAACATGAAGTACATAGATTGCTATTGACCGGCCTCAAAATAGGTGTGACTTCTACATAAGTCCACTTATGATTGCTTAACATAGCGCTAAATTTTGTCCCGATTCGAATAAATAATCATTCGTAGCCCAAACTTATGATTGCAAGCCCAAGTATGTTAATTTGATCTCTTTGATCCAATAACCTTGAGATTCATTGTGTGGAGGCTTTGGTTCTACCAATCCTCTAATGGATCTACAACACCTTTGGTCAACGCGGATCACTTAAACATCGTTGATCATTACGTGTTGCCTTGTGAGAATTCCAAAATGGATGATATACTTGACAAAAAGAAAATGCAACTTGTTGTGTGGAGGCTTTGGTTCTACCAATCCTATAATGAGTTCCAAATGCAAGTTTCAAGATGGTCATCCAACTAAACACTAATTACTAACAATTAACTTTACTTTACGCTTTTATTTTCATGCTTTGTGTACCATTTACTTTTAGCATTTTACATTTCATGCTATTTTCATCTTTGCTCACTTGAGCATTTACTTTTATGTCATTTTTATTTTTCTCACTTGAGCTTTTCATTCTTTTTAAAGACACCTAATAATCAACATGAACCATAAAAATCATTAATGATACTTGGACTACATGGTTACTATCATTTGCATTATAGAGTGATGGACTTCTTGGACTTAGGATTAGAGACCTTGGCTTATATTAGAGACCTTTTAACCTCAATGGATATTTTGTATGGAGCTCTTGGGTTTTACCTCAAGATATTGGGTTGTTTGTTTGTTTTGTGTGCAGGTCATTGTGATTACATATTTTGTTTGTAATCTGGAATTCACACGTATACAGCCGTTACTCTGCCCAATTTTTGTGAAGACTTAAAACACTTAAAGTTTGGTTCTCTCAAGAGGTCTAGTATCTTTGCTTGCTTGGTTTCAATCCAAAGAATGGGAATTCTATATTGACTCATAATGTCAAGTGTTGGCTTCTTGTTGGTTAGACGGTTCTCTTCCTTAACTTTTACCTTATGCTTTAGGATAGTCCCTTCATCTCTTCCCATCTTCTTTAATTTTCAAAACCTTCTCATCTTCTTTCAAAATCTTCTTTGTTTTTAACATCAAACCGCTTTCATAATAAACCTCGACCTTGTCGAGTGCCTTTTCTTTCAAAACTTATTTTCTTTAAACAAACTTCAATACATTTAATCATACTTTGACATTTCTTTCAAAATTAACAAAAACATTTTAACTCATTCAAACTCTTTTGTGCGCCCGAGCACCTTTTTCCCTTAAAACCTTTTTTCAAGATAAGACATGATTCATTGATAGTCGAGCAACATTCTCCTATCCCCATGGTTATAAAGGTGTCGACTTTTTCACTTAAGTACTAGAGGCGTTCTCAAACCCTCACTCTTGTTGACGCATGGTCCATCTTTCTCATACCTTGTGGGCGTTAGTCGAGTTCTCTCCTAACAATGACGACTTGTCTCTTTGTTTAAAATCAACCAACAGACAAGTCTTTTTCTAGAGGAACTACGTGTACCCTGATCCCCTATTGCACGAAAGGTGGTACGTAGGCACTAAAGGTTCGCAACCGCGACGGGTGCAAAAATCATAAAAAATATTTCTTTTCTCACCTCCACCATCCATTTTATATACAACACATTTTTATAGCCAAAATATACAGATTTTTTCAAAGAGGTTCCTGCGGAGTACCATAGATGTTTAGGATGCTAATACCTTTCCTTTGCATAACCAACCCCCTTACCTTGAATCTTTCCCCCTCTTTTTGGGTTATTCGCTCTTTTCCCATTCCTTTGGAAACAATAAAGCGCGGTGGCGATTTTTATTTTGATTTGTATAAAGTCTAGTCAATCCAATGGCTTAGTCTTGAACATTTCTACCGCTACAGTTTCGAATATGCACATCTGAAATAAAATGGTGTCTTCGAATATGTATTTCCGAAATCATTTGATAAAAAATAAAATATGATGAGTTCGGATATGCATATCCAAATTATGAAGGTATTACAGGAATTTTGCCAAAAACTTCTAAGAAGATATAATGGTAGACATGGCAAATAAACTCGCCACCGCTGGGGCCCGGCCGCCCCTGCCCCAAAATTAGTGGCGAAAACCCAGTTTAATCAGGAACGAATGCGAGTGCAGAGAAAACTCAATTTTTATTTACGGGTGCGGGTGCAGGGACGAATGATGCTAGTACCCGCCTTGCACCCGCACCTGTCCCGCACCCTTCAATTAAATTTAATTTATTTAATTTATTTTCAATAATTTTATTACTCATTTACATTTTTTAATGTCATAATATCATGTTTATTAGAATTATCATTTATCTTTTTTAAAAATATAAATTAAATAATAATATCAAACATAAAAAATACTTTTAAAATAATTAATTATTTAGTTTAATTATTGATTTTTATTTTTATTGAAAAAAAATATAAATTTAAAAGAATTAAAATTTTATTCAGACGGATGTGGGATGGTTGCGGAGAAATTCATTTTTGTTTGAGGCGGAAGAACAAATATTAACTCCGACTGAACTTGGGAACGGGAGCGGATCTAGGTGTGGATGGCAGGTGCGGATCTGAATGTGCTTAAACCTGTCCCCGACCCACCCCGTAACCACCCCTATATAAGGGTGCACTAAGAAACCCCTTCAAACTTATCAAGTAAATATGCATTTTTATTTTCAAAATTGAAAGATTCCATCAATTGTAATTTTTCAAGTTTTAATTTTTTGATAAATAAATAGTAGTATTTTGTTGCATCAAAATAAAAATAAATGGAGGCTAAATTAAATTGACACCATCTATTTTGTTGCATATTTCTTGTCAGCTTGAATTATATTAAATAGTATTTTGTCTTAAAATCTTGTCATTATGAAATGGATTGGCCTTTTATTCCCTTTGTCTCTCAAAGAAAAATCCATGTGTTTCACTTTCAGGATTTTTACTCCCTTATTCTGGCAACTGATTCATAGCCTTTGGAATTAATAACATAAAGTTTAAAACAGAATGCAAAATTTACCATCAAAACATAATTTATAACTGAAACCAAATATATACAAGTTTTCTGAGTAATAACTTCCACACATCACATGGAATTTCCAGTATATTCAAGAGCATAATCAACCATAATTCAAATTCACCATCAAGTTTCCTGAGCTTAGATTAAATTTTCTGATCTGAAACACAAGCTAAACCTTGTATCAATCTCACTATTTCAGCAGTATCATCAAGATAGTACTTAGCCTTACTCGGTTTGCGACAAACCGTGCAAGCAAATACTTCGGCTTTCGGTGCTATTGGACCATTCATCGAACTCGTGATTACCTCGAACATGTCTTCATCAGATCGGTCGTCTCCTATACACAAAACGAAATCAGGCGACATTCCCTTTTCTTCCATCGATGAAAGTAGACGTTTCGCCACTATTCCCTTGCTCACACCCTGCATGTATAAAGTTTTTCAGTTAATAAACTATCCTCGACATGTCATAAGTTGTATTCATAAGCTCGTGCACATACCTGTGGTTTAACCTCGACATAATTCTGGCCACTTTTCACAGTCACTGGCTCATTTGCCAGCACGCTTTCGAGATGATCGAGAAGTTCCTTTGCTTGGCATGATCCAAAATCTGGATCTGCATCCTCATACCACCAAACAAGTGCAGTCTCCTTATCTTCGATGGTAGATCCATCAGTTGTTTCGGTATAAAGTTTCATCACAGGCTCTGCAATTTGTTTCCAACTACAATCGGTTGCAGGAACACAGGTTTCCCATATGTCGTCTCGCTTCATTCTGAAACCACACACATCATAGAAAAATCAATGTCAGCACCAAAAAGGTTGGAACTTAGGAGCATTGGTTAGAAATAAATCTTACCTCAGAAAGTAACCGTGCTCAGCTGCGATTCCTATATTCTCACAAGGAGAAAACCATTCCGAGAGTATCTTTCGGCTTCTCGCACTAACAAGAAACACCATGTTGTTCTTATCTCTACACAAGCTATTAAGAATTTCAATGGTTTTATCTGTTGGACTCTTATCGATGGAAACCTGAGGCATTAGTGTGCCGTCGTAGTCTAGAAGGATCGCCCTATTTGCCGTCCGTTTGTAAGCTGAAACTATGTGATCCATTGAGAGCTTCCTAAAGTTTGGATCGAGTGCGACGACTTTAAAACTTAATCCAAACCCAATTCCCCACCACCTTCGTTGTACATGATCGCTACAAGCCCTTTCCAAATCCTGTAAGAAGCTACGGGCCCAATACCCGACATCATGAGTACTAACATATCTATAATGCTTTTCATGTCGAAGCTGTTTTTCCGAATCAGCCATTCCTAACGCAGAATCCATTGCATCGGCCACAGCATCGATGTTCCATGGGTTCACTCTGATTGCCCCGCTTAAAGACGGGGAACAACCAATGAACTCGGACACAACTAGCATGCTCTTTTTCTTAGGGGAGGGACCTATCTTCAAAACTTTATCCAAAGTTTCATTTCCTTGGCGACTGACTATGTATTCGTACGGTATGAGATTCATTCCATCCCTTACCGCAGTGACTAAACAACACTCGGCAACAACATAATAAGCAACTCTCTCATAAAACTTCAACGGCTCGTCAATCAAAATAACAGGATCGTACCCTGGTTTCCTAAACGTTTCGTTGATACGTTTCACCGTTGCCTTCGTCTCGTCTTGCATTTCTTGCACATCTTTCCCTCGCCCCCTAGCAGGATTCGCTATCTGAACTAATACCACTTTTCCTCGATACTCCGGATGCTGAATGAGAAGCTGCTCCATTGCCAATAGCTTCAAAGTTATTCCCTTAAATATATCCATATCATCTACACCAAGCAACATTGTCCTTCCTTGATCCGAAAACTGTCGAATCAGCTCGCAAACTTTTTCCTCGGTTTCTTTTAGCCTTAAAACCGATTGAATCTGACCCATATGTATACCAACCGGAAGAATCTTGATACTAACAGTCCTACCATAATACTCAATACCGACATACCCCCGCTTGGATTCGTAGGTAAGACCTAGCATCCGACTACAACACGAGAGAAAATGCCGTGCATAATCAAACGTATGAAACCCGATCAAATCCGAATTAAGTAAAGCTCTCAATAGCTCTTCCCTGATAGGCAAAGTTTTGTAAATTTCCGACGAAGGAAATGGACTATGAAGGAAAAATCCAAGCTTCACCCGATTAAACCTCTTCCTCAAGAAAGTCGGTAACACCATAAGATGATAATCATGTATCCAAACATAATCATCTTCCGGGTTAATAACTTCCATAATCCTATCAGCGAAAATCTTATTCACCGATACATAAGCTTGCCATAAAGACCGATTAAACCTGCCACCAAGCTCGGGTGATAACGGCAACATGTAATGAAACAATGGCCATAACTGTTGTTTGCAAAACCCATGATAGTACTTAGTAAACATCTCCGGCGGAAGAAAAGTAGGGACACATTTGTAATTCTCAAGAAGTATCATTGAAACCTCATCTTGTTCATTTGGATGAACATCTTCTTTCAAGCATCCAACATAAATAATCTCAATATCATCATCTCCCATTCCATCTTTCAATTGAAGAAGTGAATTTTCATCCCAGTCAAATGACCAAAAACTCCTATCACCATCATGATTCCTGTGAGCCTTAATCGGAAGCTGATTCGCCACTATTATGATCCGGTCGCGATGTACCGAAGACGAAGAGATATCAGAACAGACACTCTCTACTTGATCATCATCAACAATAACATCAGATATCAATCCAGCAACAGTCATAATCCTTGGAATTCTTCTATTCACTAAACCAAATGATGAAGCTTCCCCAGAAGCTAACTCTACTAGATTTGAATAAGATCTTGAAACCATCCTAGTAATCAATCAATCACAAAACCTAACACACACTACTTTTTCAACCCAAGTTAACCAAAAGGGTCAATGAAGAACTAAAGACTCTGAAGTTCAAAAGACTAGTTTTTGAGATTTGGGTCAACTAATACTAGTTCTAAACTGAGTGAAAGAGAAGTTACAAAGCATGAAATGACAAGATATGCAAGTTGTGAATCTATGATGACAAACAAAGGAAAACATCAAAAGGGTGTGAAGAATTTGTGTAAAGATAACAACTTTACAACAAATTGGTCTCATACAGGAATGAAAAAACAGATTCAGATCACAAAAACCAAACAACACACAAAGAGATTGGTGTCAGAAACAAAATACCTTAAAAAAAAACAAGAACACAAATGGAATTAACAAATTACCAGGTTTGGTTTTGAGACTTGAATTTCAATTCCAGTTTGATTAAGAATATTAATAGATTTTGATTAAGAAAAAATGAATTTAACTTTCAATGGCTTCTCCTTGATCACAAAAGCCACCCAACTCCATAATATCTCTCTCTCTCTCTTTCTCTGAACTGAACAAAATCAGCATGCAACAGTGTTATGATCTTTAAGCTTACTTGTTTTCATGGGTCAACTACTAAAAATTAAATTTTTAATTTTTAAAATATTTTTTTGGAATTTTTCAATTTTTTAATAAAGAAAAATAAGAGGATGATTTTGGGCCGTTGGATGAATGAGATTGGATTTGTGGTAATCTAAATAGACGGTTAAGATTAAGAGGTTGATTGTGATACCCTGTGATGGGTTGTATATTATAACATCTCGTTGAGTTCGTCCTTATCCACATTGTCTTTCGGCAAGTCCGTCACCGAGGATTATGTTTGTTGTGGGACCCACTTTCGGGAGTTGTCTCAAATTATCTGAATTCCTCGTTGGTTGTGCCACGTTTCTTATGTTCATTGGCTGTAAAGATGAACCGTACACGTGGAAGGTGTTAAACCTTTCTTTAACATCGATGTTCCATATTGTCTTGAATCAACGAATTTCATAATTCGCTTTTTTGACTAGATTGTGTGATCTTTCTTTTCAAAACATTGAATTTTGGGTTGTGAAACTATGGGTGTTTAAATATACAAGATTATAAAATATACTTACCATATTTAATATGTATATTGACTGTATTAATATTTATTATTCAAAAAAAGTTTAATACCACTATTTATTATAAACATAAAAGTAGAAGATATTAAATAAATAATATACCATTTTATGGTAAAGAGAAATATTATGATATAGACATATTTAAACTATTGAGATATTTATGTTGAATATCAAGGTGGGTCCAACTCATTTAGTTTTAAAACAAGTATTTTACAAGAAATAAAAATATCTTACTAAAAGTTGATACAACTTTTAATATTAAAAATAAAATAAACTACCAATTTAGTATCTAAATTATTATTTTCCCTAATTGTCTCTTGTACATAAATATATATAATTTTTAAGAGAAAGGGATGATGTATTTCTGTCAATCAATAACCATCTTACATTTTTTTTCAATTTAGATTAAGATTTTTAAATTATTTATATAATATGATATAATAATATATTTTATTGTTAATTTAAAATTTTTGTACTATCAATACATTTTCTTTAAACTCAATTTCTAAAATATATAAAATTCGTAAATTTAATTATTAAAATATATGAAAAATTATTATGACACTCTTTAACGTTCTAATAACTTAATTTAATTTACAAAATTTATATTTTTAAAGTTACTTATTATATTTATATATTTAAGAAATTAAATTATTGTTTATAAAATTATTAATGTATAAATATTAATAATTTATTTATATTAATAAATAATTATAAATAAATAATACTATCAGATAATAAATTCGGACAACATATATTTATTTAACTTAATTATTATTTGAGATATCTCACTCACCTCTAAAAAAATTTAAATTAAAGTTAATTCGATAGTTTAAAGATTTATTTGATAAGTATTTATTAAAATATTTTAATTTTTACCTTAAAATTTATATTTTAAAAGTATAATTTAAATAATTAATATAATTATTAATTGAAATTCTGGCATACACAATATAAATATCAAGACTGATGTTTCAACATACAAGCATAATGTTATGACATCTGCTGACAGACATGACTTTTACTAAAATAAAAAATAAAAATTATGCAGAATTTAAATGCAGAGGATAAAAGAACATAAAAAAATGTTAACCCAGTTCGGTGCAACTCACTTACATTTGTGGGCTACCAAGCCAAAAAAGAAATTCACTATTAATAGTATTAGTTCTAAGCCTAAACAATCTCAATTTACAACTTATTACATAATCTATATCCAATGTAATTTCTACCTAGGAACCTCCTAGATATTAGAATCCCCTCTCACTTCCAATCACCACAGTGATATCTACAACCACAATCCCAGTGACCGAAAACCAAATTAAACAGAAGTTTACACTTCAAATACAATACTCAAACTCTTGCTTAAAAGCTTTAGAGTGAGAACAATAACTTGACAAACTATCAAGTAACAATCAGTCAACTCTAATGCATCAAAAGATACATGAGAACGTACAAAGAAAACATAAACTCCCTTGAAGAACCCCCAAACCCTAAGTCTAAGAAAAATAGGCTTCCCCTTATTTTTTTTACAAAATTCTTAATAAAATTATATCTAGGTAATTTCTTTAAATACTCCTCAGTGGTCCATAGACCTTGAATCCTCGCCCAGATATTCCTTGTTGCTCAAGTTGAGAGTTGCACAAATTGTGCAGAAAAATCTCCTTAAATCTTGGAACAAAAACATCAAGTTTCTTAAATTATCTCAAAGCCCAATTTAGAAACTTGTGTACTGTTGGAGATAAAACCAATTGTTCTAGATTAATTATTCTTGACCTGCAAAAATCAGATAGATAAATCCAAAATAAATCTCACAAAAAAATTTTAAATTTGTCAAGAATAAACATAGCCTGTACTGATGTTCTAGTACAGGATGTCACAATATGTGTAAGAACATCTACCTTCAAATGAACCTGATCAGCATGTTAGAACATCTTCCATAACATCATGCTGCAAATCATGTTTTAGCAAAATTATGCCAATCCTAAAACTGTGGTACTAACAATCTCTCCCTTTGGCAATTTCGACTAAAATAATCAAAGGCCAATTAAAATGGAGAGAGGAATAAAACCACAAAGGAATAAGACTACAAACAAACAAACTACATCATAAAAATATACCTCAGAGTTACAACATCTACAAAAACAGACAAGTTCAACACTCCGTCTCCCCTATCACACATAATAAGTTATCCCCTTCAAGGGAAAACTCACACCAGAGGAGAAATCTAAAGGATTCTCAACACACACCAGACAGGATGTTGAAATATCTGTTAAGACATCATCATCCTGCATAACTGACTATATCAGTAGCAGCAGCACAAGCACATAAAAGTAGGAGTATGAAACTATCACTCTCCCCTTAAATAGTTGCATCCATGAAGCAACAACACTAATTATCCGCCCCCCCTTAGTAGTAGCACAGTCCTATCGGGACACACACACACACACACACACACTAAACACAACACTTTACTCCCCCCTTTTAGCCAAAATTTTGACAAAAACTAAAGTAAATGTATACAAATCAGAAAAACACATATTTCACACTAGAAATATCACAAATGGGAGCACAAATGGAAGTACAAAATAAAATCAAACAAAAGAAATACACAAGTGGAAACACATATTTCATTGGAAATAAACAACTTCATTGGTGAAACCACATTGTTTAGGATTACAGAAACAACACAAAAGAGAACACACAAAAATGAGTCATAAGCCCTTACATAATGTTATCAAAACATACAAAAACAAACAAACAAAACATTAGAAGGCACAACAGTTCAACCACTGGTGTTGCTAGCAATTTTTTCCTCTTCACTGCTTCATTCAGTTCCATCATTTTCTTTTTGAGCTTCCTGTTTTTCTTCTCCCTTATCAGCCACATCCTTTTCAGCCTTCAAGGACCTAATGAGCATTTCCAACCTAATATTTCTTGCAGTGCAACTCTTGATGGTATCACTCAATTCCTTACAAGTATCCTTGAGTTCAGAAATGGTTCCTTCTGTTGAAGCTGGACCAACATCATCCTTGCCAGATGTTGTAGCAATGTCTTCAACATGTGACCTTGTGAAAAGCTTGTAGTGAAAGATCCCAGGATGTTGATTCAGATCCCAGGATGTTAATTCATAATTATGCCACAAATGATGGTGTAAAATGAAATTGGCATTTTCACAACATAAGAATGTGCATGCTTGATGGTTTGCTCAAATACGTTACCAAAGTCAAGTTTGGTTTTTGTTCCAACTATATAAATGAACTTTCCTAATCCTGTAGTTATTGAGGAGGTGTGATTTGTAGGAACCTAGTTGACAGTGCCTATTTTATTCAACATAACATGTTTAACACTTAGATTACTTACAAAGAGCTTCTTTTTCCTTGGCCAATAAGTCACTTTTTTTGCAATGATTTCTCTGCACACGGTATTATCAGTAACCTCCACTCCTCCATACTCACTTTTATTCTTTCCCACATACATGTTGATGATCTTAGGTGAGATTCCACACGGTTTCCTATAACAAACACTTTCATGTACTCTCTACTTCTTTTATTGCCACAGTCTCTAGGAATGTTTACTATGAACTCCCTCGCAAGTGTCTCATAACACTCTCCCAATCCTGCTACAATTTTCATTAAACATGCTTCCTCAATGAGACTAACAACTTCTTTACAGTCAAGATCATATCTTCCCGATTCTCTCTCTAAAGCTAGCCTCCTTTGACACACAAACTTCCATTTTTATGCATATACAACGGAGTGGAAAAAGATATTATCAATTGGATCTTCAGGTATGTTAAGAGGAATCTTCCTTCCTGCAATAATCTTTCTGACAGATAAAGCAATGTCTTGAACATTTTCTCCA